ACCGCGCAGAGTATTTAAAATTTTAACAATTTATCAATTTTACAATGCCATAGAAATTTTAACTGCACCTGCCACAAATTGATTAATTAATTTCCCCGGAGTATCTAATTAATAAATTCTAGCAGCGCAAAATACAGGTGTAGCGCGTAAACATTGCTTTTAAAAACAGGTAGGGTGGACATTTCCAAATTTCTTTTCACCTTGAATAAATGATAAATGTTTCCCGAAAACTTCTAGTTAGTTTAGTTTGTGACAGTCGACGATTCACCTATTTAAAGCGGTCGAGGATGTTTGTATCTTTGATTTATAGGCTCTCTTCTAAATGAGATTTTTAATAACGTGTCAAGAAACTTCCAGACCGTAAATTTACAAACTTAATTTATGAAGAATATTTGCGGTATTTTCAATGTAGATATAAATAAAGAGTTGGTTTTATTTAACTAACTGAAAGTTAAGAATGAGATGTTTTGCCAAAAATGCTGCTAAAATTAAATTTAAATCTCTTATTTACGGAAAGTTTTTCTTGCTGCCTTTTGTGACTTGTGTTTTTTTTTCAAGCTAAAAAATTACAGTTTTCTTTCTTATTATTTCAAATCAGGAGAATGGAAAATGTGGAAGTTTTAGTCGAGGAATTTTCCTACACAAAAATCCGCACCCTTTGTCCTATTAATTTAGTCACGTTCCAACTTGTAGCATGGTTATTTCTTTTTTTAAATTACAGATTCTGCGGAGCACAATATTCATAAATTGGCACAAAAAACTCAACGACATTTTTACGGATAAATTATAGAGTATACTCAGAAATTCGGCAAAAAACTTTGTCCTTTTATATGTGAAAAACTTCGGGCTATTGAGGTTAATATTTCATCACACTCCTTTTAATATTTTCCCCGTTTATACTTTATCCATGTCCCGCGTTACCATCTAAATGTCCGATATTATCTGGTTTTCCATTAGATATTTCCACTATAAAAAATCTACTATAGATAAAGACAAATTTAGGAGTGACTAAGGAATCGTTAATTTGAGAATTTTATATGGTTGTTATGGAGTACTAGATAACGACAAATTTGTGTAAATTTTGGTGGTATACACAAGCGAACAAAATGCCTGTAGAAACATCTTTGCTTAACCCGGACGAGCTCTGAATATTTCTATCAAAACCCCTCGATTTCCGTTCGATAACTAACGAGCGAACAGTGAGCAGTCCCAAATACAAAGGAAAAGAAGCTAATCAAGGGATCCTTGTTCCGGATTATCCCGATATAAATAATTTCGTTTCTCCTCGAATTTTTCCCTTTTCCGTAGATTCTCTGTGCAAATTACGTAGTTTCAACCTGACAAGAATAACACCTCTAGACAATAGCAAATATTACTGTCGCAAACCGAGGAAAGATATTTCACCCGACACACCTTGAATTTACAACATTATTTAGTTAATCTTAAAATAATATTTTCCAAGTCCGCAAATCTAAAGGTAGAGAGAAAATCGCTTTTCTCGCAAGTATACAAGTAACCCTTATTGAAAGTTTAACAAACGCAAACATAAACTCCGTCGAATGTTTGTATTATTGTTAAGTTTCTCTACTAATGGCAATCGATTTCTATTATCCAGAATACCTACAGCGCTCGTCGTCTACTTACAAATAAATCAATTATATTGTATTCAAATCAGCTCGATTGTATCATTTGTTTGGATTTAGTAATATAATGCCATCTCGTCGCAATCCTTATTTATTGAGATTGAGAAATAAATTTGAAACGAAACCAATCGCAATAAAAAAATGTAATTCACAATTTAAATAGAATTTGCATTGATTTTCAAATTCACCTTTTGTAAGAAGTTTCATAAATTATTAGTAATAAATGCGGCAATAAAATTGAAGTGATATATATTTTGTATTTTACGTTATACTATACAATTTTAAAAATTATTATTGACAGTCGCTCTATTTATGAGGTGATTGAAGCAAATGAAAAGTTCCGGTACAAATTGTAGTGGAATTATTCGTTAATAACAAGGTTTCCATATGAAATATTTCTACATCCTTCTATGATACTGAAAATAAGCCAGCTTTACAGGTAGAATCAACATTGTTATGAGGACTGTACATTTTCATGAACAATTCGTTTCTTCTAATCTCGCAATCATCATCAGGTTCATCAGGAAAGCCCGCGTAAGAGTCTATAAATTTTTTATCGCGAAATACGCAGTGTATTTTTCATACTCTTTTGCATCACCGCCGGAAAATTCCAGCCCCGCCAGATGTTTAAGAAAATTGAGGTTGTCTTTCTATACCATAAATTCGAAGCAATGTGGCGTTATGCTCATATCATTAAGGACCTTTCCTTGGTATCGTACGTCTCTTTGTAATTTCCCTTTCCAAATTAAACGGACTGGTAGCTCATTTAGCCGGTCGTTCCGCTGCGAAAGCTAAATTACGACTTTGCCGTTTCTATTTTACGGGAAATATTATTTAATGCCGTATTACCTGTTGGAATTGCTCTTACTTTCTTATGCACTGTGTCCAAGTATGCAAGAAAGGTTTGCAAATTAACATCACTCGTCTTTCTACTAAAACATTCATCAAATTCTTCTAGAAAAACAATAATTTCCTGCATCACTTCTAATTTAATAATCTGATTGAATTGTTTGTTGTATTCACCATTGGGTTTGTATGACAAATAACAAATTGAGTGGATTATTCAAAGTAAGAGATGTAAACCTAATGCAAATTTGGTTGGCCCTCAAATATACGATGTTATCGGTTGTTTACCAGCGCCCCGGTCACAATCAATTCGTCAACATAACCGTTTATAGCTTCGAAAGTAAACACATCTACATGTGGAGCTGCAAATCCATTGTGTACTTTACGCTAGTCAAACAGAGAATGAAAAAAAACCGAAATAATTACGAGCGCCGGTGGTCCGATAAAAACCTTGGTGTATACCTAATGAAACCCCCGGAACGAGAAAGCCTATAACTTTTTTCCGTCCCTTAGGGGCGGTTAATTCGTCTCCGGAGCTCCTTTATTTTATACCTCCACATCCACCTGAAAAATAAACATTATCTTTAGTTGTAACCGGAGCGCGGTACGTGCGAAGCTGACGGGCGAGCTATAAATCTGGAGCGTGTGTCGCTGGCTCCTCTGCTCGCTTCTAACGAATGCATTTCGGTTTTCGGTGCGCAAATTGTGCACCTTAACAAACTTTCCTGTCGGTCGTGTTTCGTTTCTGCCGGCGTGGTTTCCATAAATTTCTGCGCTCGTTTCGGAACGTACGTTTTTCGACCGAAAGGCGCATTAATATGTCCATATTTGTTCAATGTGTGTTCCGCTTTTGTATGGAAAACATGGCGGAGGAATTTCTCAAATATTTGGTTAAAAAAATGTGCACGAGAAAAATTTATGATTTGATTAGTAATTTTAGACCAAAGACATTATACAGGTTGCTCCATTTTTGATCGCAACATAGGTTATATAGAAATTTTAAAACAATAACAGTCCACAAATAAATGAGATTTACCATAAAAACATTTAATCTCTTAGTTGTAATGTCTTTGTTTTAGACCCTATTAGACCCATGGTTGCTTCATGAATAGGTTCTTTGATATGAATTTTTGAATAATTTTATAACACTTTTTTTATTAACCCTATTTAGGTTCGCACTAATGACATTTTAAGTCAAACATTTCCGCAAGACGTAACCTAAAACCTGCTACACATCGATTTCTCCCTACTTTTTTTCCAATTCCCAATCAATTCATTTGGAAGACACCTCGATCTGGAAAATCACTCTCCTTGCAAGAACTATTTATTTTTCGTGCGCTGCTCATCGCTGCATCTTTTATGACCGTCAATTTATTACCTAAGTTTTCTTTTCCATTAATCTCCATCGCCCATCGTTTAATCATTGAAACAAATTCCCCGTGGCCGGACGCGCGATAAATTGTTTAGTTTTCTCGCTAGTTTTGTTCGTTTCATTCCCGAAACAAAACTTGCTTATTTATCGACGTCGATATTTTCCGGCTGATGAATCGAGCCCGCTCATTCGAAATACCTGTACGCACACAAAGGACTTTCCTAAGCAGCAAAACTGGATATAAAGAAAGAGAGTGAATAATTAATTTGCGAAGGAAACAGAGCGCTCGTTTCCATTATTTAAAAATAATAAGCTGCTTCTTATGTAGCTGTTATACACATTTTATTGTTGACTAGCGTCCCGAAGGGAAAGAGACTTGCTCTAACGGTTGAGGACACTTCAAAAGAAATTCTTTAATGGTTCATATAGAGAAATATGAGAGCTATGATGTGCTCGTTATTTGTGCTGTTGTTTAAAAAAACGTTTGTACAGAAAAAGTGTTTCATTAAGTATTTCTTTACGTTTTGAAGAAAATTTAGAACTTTCAATGCATCAAAAACGTTTAAAATAAACATGCTGAAAATGTTGGGTGAAAATTCCTTAAACAAATTTATTTACTGGCTGACGGATTTACAAATTGCTATTTATTAAAAACCAGTATATTAAACTTCAAGAAGCTCAAGAACTTTGCACACGTTTCCAAATTCTTTAGAAACCCGACAAAAAAAACAGCCATAAAAGAGAGCCGAGAGAAACTGAAAGAAAACGGATTGAATAGTTCGCTCGCAGCATTTAATATTTCACCAACACACATCGCGCGACTGGAAAAGATCAAACGCCGCACTTGCTCGCAGTGACTCCCCGTTTTTGACATTGATGCATTTTCCCCGTGCATCGTCTGTATGCACTGCAAATATTTGGGCGCCGCCCTCGCCCATACAAAATGCATTTAACGGAACGTACGACGTCTCTATGCGACGGAGAAAAATGATAATGTTTTCCGTTATTAAATTTTCACAACGCTCGCAGGAATTAATCCTGCGACGCGATGGCTTTCTTCTTACGAAAGGCTTGTTCGGAGACATCTCGAGGTGAATTTATTTATTGGTTTTTATTATATGGGAGTTTATTTATTCCAGGTACACGTGCGCTTGGTTGAAAGCCACAGCCTCCTGCAGGTGTATAGCGAGAAATTCGAGTGTTCAGTATAGCCCTTTGAACCCCCGAAGGGGTGAATATACCGTCGCTTTGGAGCACCGGTGGTGGCTGGAACTTCCGAAGGTGATAGAAGACTCCCAGCGACCGATCGTTCGCATGAAATCCGACGAAGAGATGGGCAGAGACAAGCCATCTGGTGCACAGGCGAACCACACGCATCATTCCAGTGAGTATTTTCTCGCCATTTTCTCTAAATGACGGCTCGGAGACGGCGAAATTGGCTCGTTCGTGCCTCGAAAGATACTCCCGCTTTGACGGTTTAAATGGGGTTTTTGTCTCGGTTTTATTTTCGCATTGCGCGCGATAAAATCATATTTTTCCGAAATGAAAGAATTTTTACAATAACACTAAAACGCGGCTTCCCGGATGGATCGTAAACGCCCGAACGTCGACAGAATTGAAGTTTTATTGTTATCGAACGTTACGTATGAAAATTGCTACTCTAAAACTAGTGTAAATTACTTCGAAATCCTGATGAGGAAGGTAAATTTATTTTATCTATAGTTAACGGAATATTATAAGTTATAAGGAAAGATTATTTTCGAGTATTACCAGTGCCAAATTTTATTCTGAACGTTCGAAGTTCCAAAAGAAGTGTTTTTGTTTATGCAAATAAAACTATTTCCTTGTTAACTTCTACTATGAAGGCCTGAATCTGAACAAAATAAGACTTGTTCTACAGGGTGTTTCCACAGAAATGTCCTTGGTTATCGGTATACACGGTGTTAAAGATAATGGATTCTTGAAGAGGGATTTTTATTAATAATTTCATTAATAATGAAATGTCTTATGGCACTATTCGATCGGGTTAAAAAAGTTGTCCAGGAGTGGGAATAAAATGGGGGGGTTGTGGGGTTATTCTAACCTATTTTTTTATTTTAACCTTTTCTATTATTTGTTTAAAGAATATGAAAAAATGAAGTTTTCTACATAAAAAATGTATACTTGTTGTTTTTTCGTAAAGTGTACTGTTTTCACGAAAAATTACTTTTAAAATTCTGATACACAAAATTATTAAACTATTGTCATCTTTAAAAATCTAAGAAATTTAAATCTTTAAAAATTTAGATAAAACGACATTAAAATTTTTGTTTTTGTCATATTTTAAGTTCTCTACTTGTTCCCAAAGTTTGATCAAATATTTCAGAAACACTCTGTATAATCTGAATATTCCCTTAAAAACTTACTTTTCTTGCAACATTAATCTGTACAACGCACAAAAGAAATAATTTTTAAAGGACCTTACAAGATTGAAGGAAACTAAAGGAACCTTAACGAAAATAAATCGTACAAGTCCTTCAATATAAAAAACACGTGTGGAATATTCAGAGGCAGGAGCGTGTGGGTTAACTATGTAAACTTTTCGCCATCAGCAAATATTGATTGAACGAGCGGTAGACCCTTTCGTATTATGCCATCAAAAATACGTTATGGAAATCACACGGGGAATTTATACGGTCAAATATCTACCAGTTTTTTTTTAAGATAACGGTGGAAATGAGCGCGAAAATACGATTTTAATCGGTTTTTATTTTTCGAAAATTTCGAGTTGAAATAATATTCTTATTTCGTTCCTACTGGAATTTCATTTTGATCCGAAAACAACATACGTTAAATCAATTTTATGCGAAGGGGAAGTTCGATTTCACTATACCTTTGGAATTTTTTTAGGATTCTATTTGATCCATATGAAAAGCATACTGAATTTATAATATTATTTTACAATTTTAAACGTAAATACGAATTCTACATTATAAAAACATTTCAATTATTTTTCTAATAGAAATAAATCTAGCCTTTTAGAGGAATCCATTCAGAATTACCCCGCGAAATCATAAAATCCAGTTATGCAAATAGTTAATAAATTATAATGTGTTTTCCCTACGAACTCTTAATTTTTATAGCAGGATTAAAAAGTTAATAAAAGTTATGATGTTAAAGCAATGAATGTCCTTTTGCACATTTAATATTAGCAATATTATCTAATTAGAATAGTTTTTAAGGATTGATGGTGGATGAGTTATACGATCAATACATTTTTTATAAGCTGTTATTACCTATCATAAATCCAGATTTTTCCAACTTTATATTATCTACTTGTGTTTAATATTAATATCTACAAATATTCACATCCTGAAGTATCGGCACTCAATTAATTAACTCCCTGTATTCATTACTGTACAATTTTTAATTTTATGCTGCGTTCTATACTCTTATTCAATAGGGATTGGAGAGTAGAGAACAATGTTCAATCATTAATTTACAGTATTTTTTGTGTAACTATTCAGTTGCGCCTTTGTAATACTCGTAATCTCACCACTACTAATTTTGATTCCTTTAAAATCCCCAATTAACTTCGACTCGCTTCATTTCCTCCCAATAATCAGCCATCCCACTAAAAAAAAAAAACCCCGAGCATCTTCCATCGACAGATCCAGCGCGAATGTGCATTCATTTCAATTCCGCCGTAGGGTCAAACGGCCTCCCGGATCCCGGTGAATTATTGAAATTATCCCTATCGAACGCTTTCAGAGCCGCCGACTTTTTCCACCCCAGTGAATAATTCAGAAATCCCGCACTCGAAACTCCGGTGTACTCCGACTTATCTGATTAGCTGCGCCGTAAAAAACTCCGCATCAATTTGTCTAGCAGCCGGGGCATGAAGATGTAAACGCTCCAGAAGACGCTCTCGAGCTAATCGCCTGTGGTGGTGAATAATTAAGTAATCGCCCCAAAGACAAGCCTATTACCAATTAACCTCCGGTAAAAATCTCTTAATAATCCTACTCCAACTAGGCTCTTGATTTGTATGATATTATCACATTGTAATAAGTGAAACTGGCCCTACAATGTAGCGACCACTTAACTTGAGATAAGTAATTAAACGTTTACATTGGGTGCACACGCTGCAGGTCTGTGTATACATTGATACTCGGCAGTGCACGTTGCAAATTAATTATTCACTTTGCTGAAGCGGTCGTAAAATGTTTATGTTGCCTTTTTTCGGCTCTCAGACGGTATACGTGATAGTCGAAGATTGCAGGAATCCACGCAAAAATTTTATAAAGACGGAAATACTTTGTGTAAAAGATCCTGGTATGTACAAGTTTGATTTGTGATTTTAAAATTACGAAGCTCGGGTATTTTTTTTTACAATTTGTTGTCAAAGAGAAATGCTTCTGTATCCGACGAGGGAATCGTTGGAGTTTGAAAATAAATATAACAAGGTGGATTTTTAAAAGTTGCCTATTGTCGGACAGTATCCTTTTGTCTTATAGAATTAGGTTTTTATTGGTATATATTCCGATTCAGTGACTTTTATAGGTTTCTTGCGAAAGGTTAAAAGAGAAATCAATCAACCAATTTTATTCACGGACGGTAGCTTTCCCAAGTTTTATGTCTTTATCTTGCTGCAATCAACGTTTTCCCAATAAATTCTGAAAATTCTGAAACAAATATAACATGGCAACGTCGCTGTTTTTCAATTTTTTGATATAATCCTGAATGGCCAATTTACATTGTCGCGTTTATAGTAGTTTTGGAAATAAGGTATTTTCTCTTACTTAACTACTAAATTCTTAATTTCTTTATCAGTTGTACCTACAATATTTTCACCTCGTATGTAGGTTACAAAAATAAATTTTGTTAGTCTTACTAATCTAGCCTGCAAAGCTATTAGGGGAGAATAGCGACTGTAATTTACAATTTTATGGAGTTGCGGCAAACTAGGAGGAAGGCATTTTTCCAAAACCTGGAAAATTAAAATATAACTCATGGCGGGCCCGCCTCACTTTTGTGCACAACGCATTAAAACAAATAAATTGTTCGGCGAGCGAAAGGCTTCTCTCGAACGCGAACCTCGACCAATTTCGCCCCCAATTTTCCCCGTTTCCAGATTTCCCGTTACGCGCTCTTTAAATAAATACTGAAGTTAAAATGGCATTTTCCGCGCGCCATTTTTTTTACACAAAAACGCGCATTATTTTATATTCCGAAAGGTTACAGCCGACGAGAGATTCACGTCGCATTTGTCACTCTAATTTACGGTTTCCAAGTTGCCAAAGCACTTTAGCGACATTTTTTTCCACTGCTCGCATTTCACCTGGATTGCGATCTCTGCCCGATTTTTGATTCGTTTGAAGCGACATTTTTCCAATATTTCACCCAAATATGCACGTTTTTCCCAAATACCATACATAATAAACCTTTCAATTTGCTAAAAAAATTTGAAAAATGATTACTGCTGATAATAAAAAAGCTTCAAAATGAACTACAAATATTCAACTTCACGTTAAAATCAATATATTGTTGGTGCAAAACAAATATCAATGCAACGTCACTATATATTGTTGTCATACTTGCCAACATTTATACTAAACATTATTACATTATACTTGAGCAGGGTATGATCTATAATAGGTATCTGCATTAAATGATACATCAGTAATATAGGAATGAGTAGTTTTTGTATGATGAAGACCCTGTATAAATATTTTCTCTCATTAACATCAAAGGAAAATCTAGGGGATGTTGATGACTTTCATCTTTTCGGTCGCGAAAAAACTGTCGAGTGCGCGCGGGCGTTCCATTAAAAACAGTTTCATAATTATTAGCCCGTCGAGGACGTCGAGTTTTCCTGCAATTAAGGTTTTCCGCGGCGCGACTACATAATTTTCGCGTTTTCGAACTGTTTAGAGGATTATGCGTATTTAAATCCGCGGAATATGGCCGAGTCGGAGAAAAAAATAGGGAAAGAGAAAAGCGGCGTTTCCTCAAACGTGAGGTAATCTTTTCCAGTTGTAAATTCTTTGTAGCTGCGGAAAGGAGAATTCGTTTTCGTCGGGGAGGAGTATTTTATTGAAATTAGAAGGTTTTTTTTTTCGTCGCGGAACCGGAATACGGAGCCTTTAATTTCGCTCGGAATATTTAATTAAGAATTTTTTCCGGATTAGAAAGGTTTCTTTGTATTGCTGAAGATGGATCTTTTTATCTTAATTTCGGTCGCGCTCTATTCCGTGGAATTCCCCGTTTGGATACAATAAATTTCCCAAGAATTAACTGTACGTTTTTTATGGTGAACTAATTTATTTTATTTTACAAGTATTTTTATCCCAAAGATTAAGGGCTTCCGAGATAAATGAGGCTAATTTAAAACTATTTTTATTT